TATGCTAAAGACAAGCACACTTCTGTGAGCTGTTTTCAGGTAAACTTGCAGCTTTGGGGCAAGTGATTCAGACCCTGGGTCTGTGTTGGAGCAGACGGGAGTGTCTGGCTCAGCAAGACAGGGTGCTGGAGTCCTGAGCTGGCAGGGAAAACAGGAGCAGGGGTAGTCTTTGCACATCGGGTGGCAGCTCCCAAGGGGGTTTCTGTGATCCAACCCATCACAGTGGGTGCTAAGATTTCTGGCTGTGCTGGTTAAGTGTGGGAATAGTGAGGTAGGTGGATGGATCGGGGGTGCTGTCTGGAGAATAGCTGGGTTAGGGAGCCTGGGGCCAGTATTGGGCCCTCTCTCACATGCTGCTACTGCCCCCTCCTCCAGTTGCTGCTATGCATTAGAATCTACTAGGGAGAAGCTAGAAGTGAGGCAGAGAGGTCACCCGAGTGTCACAGCAGCTTCCAGGAGAATCAACTGCAGAGCTGTCCCTGCAGCCTAACCGGGTGCATGAGGATCCGGATGGGCTGAGCGCAGGTATGACAGGGCTGCTACTTATGTGAGTGTCACACGAGTTGCATAACACTGGACAGCACTGCTATAAGTTTAGTAGGGTTGCTAAGGAGAGGTTTGCTAGGCACATGCATTTACACACACAGGAGAGATATAGCTTGTGCTTGGTTGTCTGAGCCACTTCCATTTCCGAACAGAAAAAGATTCTGTGGTTCACAAATCAATACAGGCACAAAAGATTCAGGGATTTACAGCTGTATATAAGCATATGACACTAGCATTCTAATAATGTACCTGTTAATCACAAACACCAACTTGACATAGCTACTGCTAGAGAATTTAGCTTGCATTTGTTTTCCTCTTACGCAGGGCTGGCTCTAGGTGTTTTGCTGCCCCAAGCAAAAACATTTTTGGCTGCCCCCTCCCCCCCCCAGCCCTGGGCTCTCTCTCCCCTCCCCCACCCACCAACTGCACCCTCCTGCCGCCCCAGCCCTGGGTCACTGGTAACTTGCTCCCAGGGTGGGTCATTCAGCAGGAATTTTGGATGTGCACAGAACACAGACAGGATTGGTTCTCATATGGTTACAGAACTGCAGTAAAGTGGAACAATTTTCAGCTTGTGTGTTTGGAGGATATCTGGATGCATATTATAAGACTGTCCTACATAAATGAGGAAAAGTTGAGGTGCCTTTATTATTCTTTTGTTCCATTCTTTGTTTCTATGGGGAATTTGCCAATGCACTATCACTGTCTTCCTTTTAAACAAATAAAACTTAAACTAAAAAAAAAAAAGACAATGGCTGTTGAAAATAGCAATTCCAGTCCTAATAACCACTGGGAAGCATTTCTTGCTCAAATTTATTCTACTTTTTCTACAGCAAGTTACAGTGGATCAGTATATTTGATTTGGGAGAAATGAAGTAACAGGTGCCCAAACTGAGCTTGAGCACTCCTGAATTTTGAGGATGTTCAAATCTGGAAGGCAGGTGCTAGATTCCCTTTCTGAATATTAGCTAAATCTGGAAAAGAAAATCAATTTCTGCTTCCATGGCTCAGAAGTGTAAATCCTCCTATGTGCCTGGTACTGTATCTAAAGCTGCCCATAGAGCCTCCCCTCCCTTACTTTTCATTTTAAATTCTAGTGGGATCACCCTTGCTCGGCTTCAGATAGAGAGGTGCACTGTCCATTTAGTCCACCCAATTCTTTCTTTGGGGGAAAGCCCAGGGCTGGGGCAGCAGGAGGTGCAGGTGGGGGCCAGAGCTGGGGTGGCAGGGGGTGTGGGTGGGGGAGAGTCCAGAGCTGGGGCAACACGGGAGTGCAGGGGGGGGAGCCCAGGGCTGGGGGGGGGGGGCAGCAAAAAACCTAGAGCTCGCTTTGTCCCTACCATTCACAGCAAGCTGCAGCATGAGGTTTCAGTTCCACACTCCTTCCCCCTCCCTTTCCTGTTAATTGCGGCCGAGGGAATGCTGGGAAATGTAGTTCTTTCCCTGCTCCAGGGCCGGCTCTATAGGCAGGGAGCTAACCAAGGAACTACAGCTCCCAGGGCTCCCTGTTGGTTCTCAGCTCGCATGCTGGATTCTTGCACCCCTGCAAATTTGCAGCCCCAAGCAACTGCTTGCTTTGCTGGTGTCTAGAGCCAGCCCTGCTCTTACGTTGGGGGGGGGGAGGAAGTGGTTGAAGGCTACTGAGCATCGCAGTCTTACAAAGGCAGTGATCTTAAATGCCACCCTGCCTGACTGCAGCCTGATGGTAGGGTTAGTGCTCTGTGGGCACCCAAACAATTCATGACACAGGTATTTACACTGGGACAATAGCACAATGTGACAAGTTGGAAAACACACTATTTGATGTAGGACTATCCTCTTCAGTTGAAAAGCCATCTTGTTTGTTACAGAGCGGAGGGAAAAAAAAAAGAGGAGGAAGGAAAAGGAGTGCTTTGATGCTCTGATTGAAACCAAATAAAAATACCCTTGCTTTTTTAAAGCATATACTGAACATACCCATAATAGATTTAAGAAAGAAAGAAAACTGCATTATTTACATGGCTTGCAACCATCTCAGTTCAAAATGTGCCCAAAGTATATTTATACATTTCAGTTATTCAGGCTGGAGTAATATGCTTATCGTGTTTTGAACTTGAAATTGTTTGTTACATAAGAGGAGACTCCGCATTCATATAGTGCTCCGAGTTCAAAGGGCAAAATCAAAATTTTCCCTTACCTTCTCCAGAACGGATCACTTGAACAATTTCATTTTTTATGTTTTTCAAGGAGTCAAACTCTTGCACAAAGAAAGTCCTGCTCTTTGACCCTGCAATCTCATGGAGCTGTGCTTCATTTGCATCTTTTACACCAATGGCATAAATATTAACCTTCTCATTCCTCAGTCTCTCAGCAGGCTCCTTCACACTGTCATGTGACTCCCCATCTGTTAGGACAATGAGGTAACAAGGCACCCTGCCAGCTCTCTGCTCCCTTGCCCTTTTAAACAGTGGCTGCATGAAAGTCAATGCTTCTCCAATATGGGTATCCCCATATATTTGCCTAATGTTGTCAATGGCCGTCTCTAAATCATTTGTTTTGCTGTATTCATCAAGTTCAAACTCCAGTCTTTTGTCATGTGAGAACTGCACAGCTCCAAAGCGAACTTTATTTGGCCCTATGTTAAACATCTTAATCACTTCCTTCAAAAAATTTTTGATGTCTCCGAAGGCAACAGGATAAATGCTTGTTGAGCCATCAATGAGGACATAAATATCAGCTTCCTCTGTGTCCACAGATCCTACATGGAAAAATAAATTGTATACAGCATTAGTGTGAGAACAAAATGTAAAGCGAGAAACACTGAGACAAGCACCAAAAGCATATAGACTTGTAATTAGGGCCCAGAGTCAACCACTATCTATACAATGACACAAACCCAGGTGGAGTTCCACAGTGGCTGAAAATCTGCCAGAGTGAGGTTATCACAGTGCAAAGTGACTGTAACCTTAAGGTAAAGTAACCATGTTTGAGAAATGCTGGTTACTTAACCTGAACTCCAATTATCATAAGGTATGTGATCCCTATCTGTATGCCACTTGAGGTGCGCATGCACTCCATGTGCCTAAGACCAGAAGATTTTTCAACAGCAGTGTCTCTTGGTCTGAATCTCTGCCCATTACCTTCTTGTGTTCCAAGTCGAGGGCATAAGGGACCACATGGACTGACCACCTCTTCTGTTCCTTTTCTACCATGAATACCCCAGGGAAGGGATCAGAAGGAGAGTGGAAGGAGGGTGGGAAGTGGAATACAGATCGGGACCACACATCTTGAAGAACACCAGTTACTGTAAGGTAAGTAACCAGAATTTCTTCAAATGACGGTCCCTAGGTGTATTCCATTCAAAATGGCTCACAAGCAGTACTCAATGAGGAGGGCGCAAGGAACCCTGATGTGTTTGGCAGCGTGATCCTGCAATCTGAAAGGATACATCTGCTGAAGAAACTCATTCTAGGGCATAATGCCTAGTAAAAATGTGCATAGAGCTCCATGTTGCCACTCTACAGATCTCCAGAAGGGGAACTCCATGAAGCAAAGCCACTGATGTAACCTGTACACCTTGTGTGGGAGGGGTCACCGTCAGCTCACAGCTTGATGCAACTTCAAATCCATTTAGAAAATCTCAAATGTGTGAAAGGGGAAGCAAAGGAGACAACTAGATTAGGAGTTTCCCTGAAGGGTTCTGTCGTCTGC